TTATTTGATCTCGATGTTTTCACTCTGTTCAATATTTGGCTGGAGGAAATCCTTCTTAAGTCTTTCGATGAAAGTTCGTTTCAAACATCGTCCTTCCTAGGTTGATGCCCTCTGCAGGAGGGAACGAGACAATCTCTGTAGGAGCACGCTGGTCAGAGAATAACTCCATATTTCATTGTTATCTATTTATTCATTCGAAAAATGGTAACTCTAAAGATTGATTTTTTAGTTTATTTATTTAATTTATTTTCCTGGTGCTAATTTTTGGATCAAGTGCTGCACACTAAAAGTGCATGTTTATTCTGTCACATTCTTTAATCGCCATGGTACGTTTGAAAAACTTAAAATTTTTCCTACGTCTCAATATAATAAATTGTCTCTAAATCGATTTTCTTGGGTACACGCAAGAAGAAATGAGCAAATATTACAGGTGTTTAGATAGAATTACAGATATGCTTTTCGACTGGATTTTCTTGCTGTTAAGAATAGGCCTGGAAATTGAAATGTATTTTTCATTAGGAAAATAACAATTTTAACACATTACGATTTCGTGTTTAATTCAGGATATCCGTATAATGATGAACTTTTTTTTTACACTTAGTACTGAGAAATTACAATAAAGAGTTTATAATGTGTAGCACAGATTTTAAAAAAAATAATTTAAATAAGAATTTGTTTTAGTTGTTATAATATGATGAATAATAAAGCATACTATCGTTTGATTTATGGTTGTTACCCCAAAATGGCTTAATTTTCTCTTCAAAGTATATATTAATATAACTAATAACTAAAAAAGTTTATTCATTTAACTGTTCAAAATAAAATGTTGATTTATTAATTTGCATACTTCCAAACGCACAAAAGTTTCTACTGTCATTTACACTGTTGATCAAAATTAAGATAATTTGCATATTTTGTCGAATTTCATTAAAATTATTCAATGAATTGTAAAAATATTGCTTCGAAACAAAGATACAAATCTTGTACTTTGAATGCTCAAGCAAATACGTATGTGGGGGGGGGGAACTGGTCGAAAAACACGATTTGTAAGCACGCATGCCAAATTCCGCATTTCGTTCTCTTGCACATTTTGCCGAATTCCATGAGTTTATTTTCTATTTGCAGCAATCGCTAAATTAAAATTCAAGCAGTAAAACTGAGCAACTACTAACGTTTAGATCATGGAATGAAGTGGTGAATTGTGGATAGGCTAGAAAGTAGGCCAGTCTCAAATCTCGATTTGCAGATAATTGGATTTAACGCCTAGAAATCTGAATGAATCTGTCGAGAGGAAGCCAGGGCAATGTTGTCCAAGAGCCCGACGGCCAGAGAAGATTGCATTTTGTCCACTATAGTGAGGCGTAACAGAGATGCGACAGCTTTTTAGATCTCTTGTGAGTTGTATGTGGCCACAGGAGCCCGAGTTAAAAAGGAGACTGATTCCTGAAGACTGCATGAGGGAGGGTTGTTACAAGAACAACTTTTGTCGGGGTCCCGCTCAACTCTGCGAACAGGAGAATCCGCTTCAAATGGTGCAGAGATCATAGAGTTCGGAGTATTGATCAATGGGTGATCGTTCTCTTCACTGTTGAGTCCCGGTTCAGCCTAACCAGGGATTATCGCCGTACTATCATACGGAGAGAACTAGGGACTCACTACTTATCCAAAACAATATCCAAAAAACTACTCCTACAATATCCAAAAAATTGACCATTACGGCAGCGGAGGCTTGATGGTCTGGACTGGCATCATGTTAGATGGCCACACACGCATCCATGACTTTGAAAGAGGCAATGTGACTGCTGAGAGAGATATAGATGAGATCTTATAGCCCTATGTTTACCTTTTGAGTTGTGCTATTGATCCTCAATTCCTTTAAGTTAATGACAACGTGAGGCCTTATAGAGGTCATCTGATTGACGAACTTCTGGAAAATGAGGATATTCGCCGTATGGATTGGCCATCCAGATGTCCAGACCGCAATCCTATGGAGCATGTCTGAGACGCTTTGGGGAGGGCAATTGCAATTCAAAACCTTCCTTAGAGAACCATTCAAGACCAGAAAACCGCGACGCTGAAAGAAAAGGGACTATTTCCCACAAGAACTCATCAAGTCCCTTATTTATAGCATAAATATGTATCTGTATGTCTGTAAGAGGGGATCATACCCCCTATTAATCTATTTTTTTTGTTCTGTTCTGCAACAACTGTTTCATGCTTTGTGACTTCGATGAGTGTTACGCACGATCATGCGTTTGTATTACTACTGTTGAATGGTTACTTTTTGTATTATATCAACCCTATGCACAAATCAAATTTTATTAAAATCTGTCCAGTAGTTCTAGAGATAATCGACCAATTGGAAAATTCTCTCAATTTTAAACACCAATATATATATTATAATATCCACCTGAATCGCGGAAAGACATGTAATTGCAAATTATGGAATTGTTTCGTTTTTTATTCGTTAAAATATCAGTCTTGTCGGTGCCTATGATGTCAGAAAACACGTAATTTACCTCGCTATAAAGGACCTCTAAATGTCCTCTCAAGACCCGTAATCTTCATTCTAACTTCTTCATTCCCGTAATCTTCATTCTTTGAAGTTTAGAATGCCTTTAAGAAAAGTAAATAACAGCCATTTTAACATATTGGTCGCACAGATGTTACACTTTCCCACTTGGTGAAATAGGTACATGGAATTTTCGCTCACGACCGTTAGTCTTAGGAAGAGCTATACAGACTACAAGTATGGACGATCGAATAATCACTCGGCGAGTGCGAAGGACATCAAATACAACAATGCAGGACATTATGCGAAAAGTGCTGTCTTCTCTGAATCATGTTCTACGTGTCAGTACCATTAGCAGTCGGCTGCATGCTACTAGATAACTTGCACGGAAGTTGTTTCGGAGACTATTCTTGACACCAGAGCAGTATGCCTAACATGACAATGGTGCAATGAAAGATCCGAGTAGAGCCTTGTGGAATGACAGCTCACTAGTAATGCATCTCGCTTTTGTCTTGTTTAGGATGATAGCCAAATCTCGCGGGTGGAGACATTGCGATGAACACTGGGGTTTATTGTCACACAATATTGTTATAAATCCCGACAACAGCGTTTAATGACATATAAGAAGATTTTTCATACGATGTCCGATCTTCAGTAGATGCAACAAAGGAATATTAGTGATATCTTCGAGTAGGGGATCATTCCTTTTCATTTCCTCAATTTCAACAACACAAAGTTCAAGTTCATATCCCTGTCGTCTCAAGTGATCATAGTCACTATGCCCTGCCATTAGCATCAATACAGCTGTCAGAAATAGAAAACAAATAGGCCATTCTGTTAAAACCCCAACTTTACCAAATAAATTATAAGATAGATATGCCTAAGTTTAAGTTGCAGGGGTTGAGTTGTGTTAAGACATGCTTATGAGCTACAACAACTCTTTGTCCTGATGTGTGACAGAATATATAAGTAATAATTACCACCCCACTCTTCGTACTGAAAGTCTTAACGATTTCATATTTTGGACAATAACTTATTTTATTTAGAACTCTGATTTTAATAATTCCTTGCTGTTGGTGATTTCTAACTTTTTTCCAGTATCATTGCGACCTGACTATTCCTTCTAGGTTCAACTTATTTTGACGATGACTGTATATATACACAATTAATAGATACTAATTTTTCATACAAAAATAATCTAGTTGTTTCGGCTAAATAACATTTTAGGAAAACGAGAAAAAATTATGTCTCCAATCAATATTATAGGAATCAAATATAACATTCTTACTCTTGCTGCGTAGCTGTTTGAAATTTACTCTAAAGTAAAAGAGAACTCATGCATTATTTAACGAATGTCTAATTATTAACGTGAAATGCAATTTTAATCAGAGCCAATATATAAATAGATATATATTGTGGACACGAAAATTTAGTTTTATTCCAAAAGAAAAACCTATTCTAGCATTATTTTAAATAATGGAACACGTTAAAAGAAGAACAAAATTAAACAAAGTTAATTTTAAAATATTTTTCTCTACCGTAAATATCCTAATAAACAAGGTAATGATTAAAAAATTAAATTTAAGATATCTTAAATGAAATATGAACATTAACTAAAATTGGATTTTCTTTCTGTGATTTCTCTCCGACATCAAAGTATCTGAAAAACGTTGTCCTTATTTTTTTCTGAAATTCACTTTAGAAGTTATGGAAAAGGAAGAAGTATTGGATTTACAGAACTTTGTATATCTTCTTTTGCTATTTACTTCTGAATAAATGGCATAGCCAGTCTCTGCTGTTATGAACTGGTAAATATTTCCTTTTCGCATCAGCAGACTAAATATGATATTTGGATTCAAATTTTCCATCGGGGCTCTACAACGATGAAATGTTGAATAATCAATATTTACTTTATGATCTGGCTATGTAATCAAGAGCAAAACTAAATGCGTTCAAGTTCACAGTATTATTACGTCCTGGAAATGAAAATTTTATTTTGGGATTATAGTATATAGAGCAATATTTTCTCATTGAATAATTTAGAAATATGACCTTAATATTCTTTTAAACTCTCATAATTGGATTAAGAATAACATACAGCATTTGTTGAAATCTGAATAATTAATGGTAAGTAATATTTATCTGTACATATTAAATGAATAACTGTAAATAAAAGGTGGTCATAAAACGATTTTTCTAGAATCTGCACTTCTAGCATCCATTATGTTGAACCGGTCGAGATAAAATTTCAGGTATAATTATTTGGATGCATGCGCTCTAGATTCTGCGATTGGCAACACAGTGGCGCTCATGGTTACGATTTTAGTAACAGAAACTAGAAATTTTCGAATGGCTACGCCTACGATTTCCTGTCGAAAAATGTTTAGCACACGCAAGACCTTAAATAACGTTGGAATGGAATTTATATTCCGAAAATCGTGTTATGCACATACAAAAAATGTTCTGAAAAATTACCAACTTAACACCGACAGTGATTGCTCAGTTGGCAGAGCGTTTGATTCGAGATCAGAAGTTTCGGGTTCGAGGCTCTCCCGGCAATAAATCACTATGGTCCCCTGATGTATGTAAAATCCATAACGGGTGCAATGTCCTGCAAATTACACATCTAAGTGTACGAAAGTGGAGGATCAATATTATGGTAGCATGTGCCCGGACCACCCTGAGAGATGAGTCTCAGACCTTAGGCTACAGCCCTCTGTGTATCTCTAATCCAATGTTAAACCAACCAATCAGCGTATAAAGCACTATTTGGGCGCATGCAGAAAATTTGCATTTGACAGAGGCAAGATACCAATCACAGAAAGCCGTTTGCCAGATATTCAGGGTAGGAAACGGATAAAAGACGAGGTGGGTACGCTAATTCTTCAGTCGTGAGCTCTCCCATGCCAACGAAATTATTCTGCCTGGGAAAATTCATGGTGAATTGGCAAAAGTGTATTATCAAAATAGTAGGAATGCTGCGGGAGCTTTAGGGATGTATCGCCGAAATCATCTCCAAACACGAGCCCTGTATACTCCGCAAGGTCTTGCGTGATTTAGTAAAGAAATTCGAAGATACGGGCTGCATCTGTGATAAACCGCAATACAAACAGCCAAATATTTCTGAGGACATTGTTACGGATGTAAATCCCATAAAGACATCAGAATACATGCACACCGCAAGATTCACAACTCGTGTGTCGGATATACCAAAAACGACGGTCCTAAAGCAACTGCGTTATTTACTTTGCATGTTTCCATACCGTGTCCAGATATTATTACACCCGGGAGACCAACAACTAAGTATCGACTATTCAAAAGCATTTCTAATACAATATGATGCTGATAACGATTGGCCGCTTCGTGTACTATGGATGGACGAGGCGCATGTCAACTTAAATAGAAACGTGAGCACTTAAAAGTGTGTGTACTGTGTATACATGAATCCTCACGCTGTGACATCAGTACCTTTATTTGATGCCAAAGGTACTCTGTAATGCGGCATTACAGCACATTTTTTCTCGACCCGTCTTTTTTTTTTTTTTTTTTTTTGAGGAAGTGACAGCAAAGGGCTTTGTAACATGCTCTGTAACAGCTTCTTTCAATACAGACGTGCTGCAAAATTATGAATACCAGAACTGCTTCAGCGGAATGTACTAAAAGACAACATTTGGATGCAAGATGGTACACCCCATATAGAGAAGTCTATTCACAGAACAGCATTTTGATGATCATATGATCTTACACTATTTTCCTTCTCCGTGGCCCCCACGATCTGACTTCTATAGATTTCTGGATTTGGGGGATATACCAACTCTCCCTAGAGTTTTATGTGCAAACTGCAAACTTTTACTGATTTAAAAGATTCTATGAAGTATGAGATTGCAAACATCTCTCATACCATGTTGCGCTAAGGTTTATTGTCCACCTTCTCCCGCATGAAATGCATAATTTCCTGTGATGGCACTCAGGTGGAAAATGTTTGGTCTAAATAAATGTATTCTTCTGTCCGATATGTGTTGTCATCAGTGATTGGTGTCTTGTCTCGGTCAAATTCAGTATTCCTCCGTTTGTCCTGAAGAACTGTTTTTGTATGAGCATAACACGTCAAATTTTGAGAATATAAATTCCATTCTAACTTTGTTTAAGGTTTTCACATTTGCTACACATTTTGTGACGGGAAAAAGTAGGTGTTTCGATTCGAAATTTCCAGTTTCCGTTACTATAACCATTACAGTGCGCTCCACTGTGCTGCCATTCACAGAATCTCCAGCGCATACCTCCAAATAACTATATTTGAAATCTCATTTCGATCGGTTAAACGGAACGACGCTAGAAGTGCAGATATTTGGTAAAGTTTTCTTATGACCACCCTGTATATAGTTTGTTTGGAACCTTTCCTTGGTATTAATTCCGGTGGCAGATTAAAGAGACGATTAAAAAACCTTACACATTAATATAAAATTACATTTCGCGCAATTATAGATGATATAGAAGCGATGAAAACAATAGCTTACGCAAATCTGTTTCAAAGCATATCAACTGATCAAAAGCCTCCATATCTTAAATGTCTTGCTGAAGGAGAACGTTTTGTTTTAACCAGGCTGCTGTAGCTGGTGGTAATAAACCAAGTCCTCATTAACGGCTGCGAAAATGCTCTTTAAAGATGCACATTTGCCCAAAATATGCCAATTTATCAAAGATTGGCGTCAAATGAGCTGCTTCAAAATGCATAAGATGAATGTCACAAAATGCAAAAGAAAATCTTCATAATATTATTCAGAGCAAATTCTCAAACGTAACGTTAGCGATGAAGTATCGAGTTATTATTGTGGTTTATGATGCTATTTGTGAATTCAGAGTTGGAACGGAAAAAAAAATGGAAATTTAGCAAATGGGAAATTTGCTTCTTTTTAATGAACAAACATACTAATTCTTCGGCTGGGTTATCGAATAATGTACCAAAGAAAAAGAAAGATATGCAGTCGCTCAAAAAATTGCGCGAGAGAAAGAGTGACGAAATACTTTACTCATTAAAAAGGAAGGCATAACATACCATCTCTCTCTCTCTCTCTCTCTCATCATATTTTCTAACAATATCAAACTTGTAAGTTCAGTGACAAATTACTAATGCATTTGACACATATTACAATATTTCATTCCAACATATTTACTTTCTAATGTATAGTAATTTAGGATGGATTTTGCTTTTAAAATGTTTAATGTAATCTGTTTTATACTATATTCAAGAACGAATACTATATGTTTTAGTACTTTCATTTTATTTTATTGACCTTCAAATAGATAATCTGCTTTTCTCAGCTTTTTAGTGTTCATTAAATTTCCGGTATTTAAACGGTAAGGCATTTTTTTGTAATAAATATAAAGCTTTAAAATATTTCTGGTTTTATACTGGTATAATATGTGTAACAATTTTGTGCAAGGAATAAGAATTTTGATTAATTGTTTATGTAATTCAATCAAATTAGATATGGTTGCTTTTCATAGAGTATCAGAATTAAAAATGTAAAATTATAAATATCCTTAATACAATCAAGTCCACACTCGAAATTGTGAGGAATACTACTATGCATATGAAAAAACAGATTATGTCAAAATATTAAAATTCAAGAAGCAGGAATTGTAAGATATTGAAATATTTTGAAAAAATTTAAATTTTTAATTAATTACTTTTTTAGAAAGGAAGTTTCCCCCCCCCTGAAATGTGTATTTGTGTGTTCGAATATGTTGGAAAAAAGCCTTTTGTTATAGATATCTATACAATAAAATTTGCTTAGAGTATACTAAGTTTTCTAAACAGAAAATTACTTCAGTTATAATGGACAAAAAATATTTACAAATTAAAGGTGTATCTTAAGGTGGAATTTTTAGTATTTGTCTTGACAATATACATATACGTTTTTATGAACAAAATTTTTAGAAAACAATAATTACAAATTATTTATATACATCGACGATGTTATAATTTGTGAAATTAATTTCAACCCGGAAGTTAAAACAGAATTATCTCAAGATACTTCTAATTTAAATTTGATTAAACCGAATGTAAACACTTTTTAATAGGTTTTTTAAAAGTTAATTTACAAACTGAGGAATATATGATTATTAGAAACATAATACGAAAGTAGGAAGATAATTTTTGTTTCCTTATTAATAAAATTTCTTTCTTTGAGAGGAATTTAAGCTTAAATATAGATAGAAATATTTTATAAAAAAGTTTTAATCAGAAATCACAAAATAGTCGATATGCCTTTAAATGGGCGAAAACATATTTAATAATCTGTTTTTAACTTGTGCTACAGATGATTATACAATTTAATTTTATAGGAAAACTTAAAATATAAAACTAATCGTATTAGCTAATAGTAAATTTCCTTTATTTTGTTTCTTTTAAGGCTATGATTTTTACGATAATTTTTTTGATAATTTTAACAAAAGATTTTCTTTTTTTGTTTGAATTTAAAATAAATTCAATTTTTTTTCGAAAAAAGTTCTTTCTACTTTTTTAATACTTATGTGTAGTATTTTACATGTTAATTTTATTTTACTCATTTTTATTTAATTATTATTTTCATTTTTATTGCTTTATTTTATATTATTTATTTCTTTTATTTTATATTATTTATTTTATTTTATTTACATATTCATTTTTATTCTTTCTTATTATTTTTAGCATTTTCTTTTATTTTCATTCATTTTACGATTTATTGTTTATTAATTATATATAAATTTATATTATTTTGTAAATGATAATTTTTAAAATCAATTTCTCTCAAATTGAGTATATAAATTACAAGGTACGGTTAATAATTAACGAGATTGACGCTAAAAAAAATTATTTTGATGCCTTACATATTCACTTACTATCACTTTCAATATATATACTCTCCCTTATCACTACAACGTTGCATGCGAATCTTCCATTGTTCGAAAGAGTACTGGAAGTCATTTATTGTTAGCTCCTTCTTGACGCGTGCCTTTACTCTTTCGCTACATGATTGGACTTAAATCTTGTTCCTTATAATGCAGATTTCACCTTAGAAAACTGGTAAAGTCGCATGGCACAAGATCCGGCTAATATGGCCTAACCGTGGTATTCGATACTTGGTTAGAAGCATCTTGAAAGACAATGAGGAATGAGCTGGCAAATTGCCTTGATGAAAGCATTTGTTGTACGGATTCTGTATCAATTCCAACGGTCTGAGTATTCGTTTGAATAAGTAACCCATGGCCAGATCGAACAATATAACTGATTTTTTCGATATTGTCATCCAATTTTCACATTGAATGGCGACACCGGTGTGATTCATCTTCATTGTATTCTTGACCATCTTTAAAACGCTTAAGCGACTCAAAATACGTGCATGCGATAAACAGTATAATGCCATATACTTATTTTAATAAATTATAAGTTTCAGTAGCGAGTATTCGAAGTTTCATGTGAAATTTCAAAAAAGTACTTCTTTGCTGACTTATTATTTTTCCAGTGATACAAAAACACATCTTTTGTTCAGTCGAACGAGGGCTACGGTTGTACTGAATCGTTTACA